TAACCTCCATGTTAACCTGCCACGTAATGTCCTCGTTCCATTTCGACGTATTAGACACGTAAAACTTCGATGTTAAGTCGATGTAAATGTACGAGTAGATTACTAGTAGAACATGTAAAGTCGTAGTAAACATTACAACGAACTTACTTGTCATTCGATGTTAAGTCGTTGTAAAGTTTACAACGAAATTACTTGGTATTTATATATAATATAATTGTAAAATTATATATTTTTATTTATAAATTTTGTAATTTAAAATATAAAAAAAAAATTTTAAAATTAAGATTGTTTAAAAAACATTATATTAAAAAAGTCATAAAATAATATATAAATTTATAATACAAAAGAAAATAAAATAAAATAAAATAAAACTACGGCATGTTGGTGCGGAGGTACTCGTCGGGGCGGCTGAGTTCCGGGCCGGGTCGACCGGTTGACTCAGGAGGATGCTGCTCCATTCCGAGAGCCGCTCGTCTTGCATTTAGCGATCTCTGCATAACCGGGTTATCGATGGCCACGATGTCCAACAAATCCTCAAGTGAGTCCAAACGCTCCTGCTGGGACCGCATCTGAGACCGTAGCTGAGAAGTTTCCTCATCCCGGCGCGAAGTGTATGAAGAAGTTGCCCTTGAAACTTCGTTAACGGAGCCTATTCCCACTATCCGTCCCTTCTTTCTAGGAGCCACCTTGTTTCAAAAAAAGGTTCATTAATATTGAAATAATAATTAATAAAATCGAATTAATATAAACAAATTAAAATTTATACAAAAATTTTACCTCTTCGAAAATCCGATCAACTTCTTCTGTAGTCAATGTGACGGGTGACCCATCGGGAGCCTGCTGGGTTAGTTGTGTCTGCCGCTCCTCAACTCGAGAAACCACATCGTTATAGAGTCTCTCGGAACGTGGATCCACAAAAACTCCATCTGATGTGGCGTAAGTCATCCTGAATAGCTCGGTCAGAGATGGCATGACTCCGGTCTTCTTGGCCTACAAACAAAATAAAAGAGTTCATTTTTTTAATTACTTAATTAGCAAATAATTTTTAGAAAAATATATTAAAAATAAAACTTACAACATCTAGACGAATCCCAGCATGAGGCTTCTGGCCAGATCTATGAAGCATGGGTTTATTTCCGTACTTATCCTTCGTTCTTCGGGAAGAAGAGCAGGAGTTGGACTTTTTGATGGAGGCGGGTAGGCTCCAATAGCGGATGAGATCATTCCATACAAAGTTGGAGATCTCCTTGGGCTTCCCTTCATAACCGTAGAGTTCCCATTTGTCCTTCCAATCCGAGACGGTGTTGCAAAGACGAGTCTTGGCTTTTGCTATAAAAGCCTCCTTCACCTTCTCGTTGATCGATAATGGCCAATGCCACTTTTGCTGAAACCAAAAACGATAATTTTAAAATATTAAAAAAATAATATTAAAATAAATATTAAATATTATAAACATATTTACCGCAAACATTTTAAACCACGTTATCTTCACGTGGTGTCTGGAGTCATACTTCAATTCGGATGGGCCTCGAGAAAGTACCCCTTCATCGTGTCTGAAACACTCCGGCTAACGCGGTTGTTAGCTCCAAACCTGGAAAATAATATAAATTATGAATTTTATAAATAAAAAATTAAGAATTAAAAAAAAAACCCTTACCAATAAGTACCCCGCCGACGATCGGGGTCCAGAATATCTAAACCTTCTCGCCCCGGTTGGGCAAGAAGATCCTCCACTGTATAGGCAGCATATGGTGCACTGGGAGGAACCCGCAAATCTGGATGAAACTGATCAGCGCCTGCAGGAATGGGATCCGGATCGGGTGCGGGATTAGTACCGGGATGTCGAGTAGGACCGGAAAGTGGAGGCACCTCATGATATGGTATATCATTGCCGGGATAATATGCGTGAGACTCCGGCACACGGTCGGAAGATGACGGGCCGGAAGACGATGTCCCGATACCATCAGTACCAAACAACTCACTACACGAAGGAGGTGGTCTAATCGGTTGCTTCAGACCAGGGATTAATATGGTCAAGAATAGAAATTCTTGTTCAATGCACATCTCCGAAGGCAGGTTGTACGGCGTAAGAATGACTGGCCACAAAGAGTATTGTTTCCCAGACATTCCAAATGGACTAAATCCGTTTGTGCATAATCCAAGATAGAAATTTCTAATAGAACTTGCGAAATCTGGGTGTACCTTGTAAAAATGTTTCCAAGCTCTTGCATCTGATGGATGAGGAATCTCGCCTTCCCGTTGGACATGTTCAGCATGCCACCTCATCGCTGCAGCAGTCCTCTCAGATTGATATAATCTTTTCAGCCTATCTGTAATTGGTTAGTACCACATCATTTGGTACGGTACTCTATTCCTTCCACGTCCTTGCGGTTTGAATCGTGGCTTCTTGCAGAATCGACACTCTTCTAGCTTCTCATCATCTCTCCAGTAGATCATGCAGTTGTCGATGCAAACATCTATCATTTCCGAAGGCAACCCAAGACTATAAATCAATTTCTGAATCTCGTTATAAGATTCAGCTGACACGTTGTCTTCTGGCAAATACTCTTTAAACAACTCGGGCCATGTATTCATGCAGTTTTCAGGTAAATTATGATCCGTTTTAATATTCATCATCCTAGCTGCTAGAGACAATTTAGAGTGACCTTCTCTACAACCAGTGTAGATTGGTTGATTTGCAGCATTTAGCATTTCATAAAACCTTTTTGCATCCAAATTAGGTTTTTCAACATGAACAGTTTCATCTGCTATTGTTGTAGTAGTTTCTAAAAATGCATCAGTAATCATGTCATGAACCCTATCATGATCTACCATCTGTTCAACACCCTGATTATTACTGACATTCTGAAAATTACTATTACTACTACTAGCTTCATTTCCTCCATAACCCTCTCCATGTTGAAACCAAATATAATACAGCGGTGTAAAACCTCTGTGTACTAAATGTTTCCAGACAGTTTCAGTACGGGCAAATTTTGAATTCTTGCATTTCTGACAAGGACAGAACATCTTACCACTTTCCTGCATGAGCGGTGTACGGGCTGCCTGGTTCATGAACTTCTCAAGCCCGCTAAGAAAAGCATTCGTCACTCTACCGTCAGAATCTTTATGCGTATACATCCAACTCCGCAATTCGAAAATATTTCTTCCATCCGACATTTTTTGAGTTGTTTTTGTTTTTGTTTTTTTTTTTTTGTGGTGATATGAAATGAGAAATGAGAAATGATCATATATATAGGCGATCCACAAAAATTTGTAGGTGAAAATTTACAACGTATTAACAAGGAATCTATTTACAAGGATATTACATGTCTCTAACAAATAGGTTACAACGTCTTTACAACGACTTCACATACACATTCAACTCGTGTTCACCTACTAGCTTTCGTCGTAAAGCACTAGTAAATTTACGACGCCTTTACAACGAAAACTATTTACTTAAACAAAAATAAAATGCGTGAACAGTTATCAGAACAATTCTTATAACTCCGAGTAACTATTCATCGTTTTCTCGAAGAAAAGCTACGCAAAGCTGATAAGAACTGTTCTGGTGACTGCTCGCGCCTTATACTTTCTTGAAAATTCGATACATAAGTTATCGAATTTTTTTTCTTTCATTTTTTTGTTCTTTTTGTTTGTGGTGTTTTTTGTTTGTGGTGTTTTTAGAAGTGATTATGAATGACATATATATAGGAAATTTTCGAACTTGGTTGGTAAAGAGTTAACAACGAATTTACAAGGAAACATTTTACTACGACTTTACAAGTTTTTTGTACATACTTTACATCATTGTTACAATGAAAGTTGTTACTTAAGAACACGTTTTTGTTTACTATAAACGGTTAAACTTTACTCGAAATGTACTTGTAATTTTACTTCGTCTTTACAACGAGTGTTTCTTTTCCACGTACCTTCGTCGTAAATTTACTTGGAGTTTACGACGAAAGTGTTTCATTTTAACCTTACTAGTTGATTACGACAAATTTGTATTTCGTCGTAATCCACTTGTTACGTACACGTAACATTACGAGGAAATATTTTCCTCGTAATGTTTCCTCGTTAAAGACGTGTTTTCTTGTAGTGCACATACGAAATCAACAAAAGTTTTAATAAAAATTTGAAGGAGATATAGAATATATGCGATAGCACAAAAAACAATAATTTTATGAGAAAACTAAAAATTAAAAAGTAAAAATCTAACTACTTATTTTGGGTACACAAAAAATATTTAATAAAATATAAACCTAAGAAAAACTAAATAAAAATAACTCATTGATTCACCTGATAGTTTAACTAATAGCCGGTCACCGGGTTTAACGATTTTTAGCAGATTTTATTGGGCTTTAAATTAGTGGATATTTCTTCACCCGGATTACTTATCGGGTCGCCGAATTGAGCGGTCGGACCGTGGATCCGGATCGAGCGTGAAAACACTGGATCTAACACATACTGATGTTTCAAGTTAGCGCCATCTTTAAATTATATATATAGTCATTTCTCCCAAATAATATTGCTTTTTGAAATTTATAGTTTGCATGTGTGTTATAAAAACCGTATACTTGACCACTAAAAGCGTGTATATATTCGTCCAATTTGATTGCAAATTGCTTAAGTCGGGATTTGTATAAAGAGATTATGCAATGTGAACTGCAGATTGATAATTAGTGATTGACGAACATTCTTTGCTATTTCTGACCTTATCTATCAAAGAAACGAAAGTCAAATCAATGCTCCCTGTCACCCATTATTTTTTTTTATGATCTTATTAATCATCACATTTGAATTAATCATCCTTGTAGATTTTAATAAACACAAATATTGACTCTTCAATATATAACCACTGGAAATGGATCATCTACAATGTGTTTCCTTTATCAAACAAAAATAAAATTTCAACGGAAGTGGTTACACCCTTTCCTATACATATACAACCTTGTACTTAGTCCCATTTCCAAAACACAAACAAACACCATCTCAACATGAGAGAAGAAACTTTCTTCTTCCAATGGCGTTTCTTAGCCTCTTGTTTCATCTTCTTCCTCTTCCTGCTTCCTCAAGCTTTCACTTACAATAATCCTCCCATCAACCCATGCTCCCCACATGCTCCTGGCTGGTTTCCTCCCATCGCAAACCCAAGGCTCTTAAAAGCTTACACAGCTCTTCAAGCTTGGAAGTTCAGTATCACCTCAGACCCGAACGGCTTCACTTCCAACTGGTGTGGTCCTCATGTTTGTAACTACACAGGCGTCTTCTGTGCACCGGCTCTAGATAACCCTTACCTCCTAACCGTAGCCGGTATAGACTTAAACCATGCCAACATAGCTGGTTATCTCCCGGTAGAGCTTGGTCTCTTAAACGATCTTGCCTTATTCCATATCAATTCCAACCGTTTTAAAGGTCAACTCCCTATGTCTCTAAACTGCCTCAAACTTCTTCACGAGCTTGACGTCAGCAACAATAAACTCTCCGGCAAGTTTCCTTCCGTAGTCTTCTCTTTACCTTCTTTAAAGTTTCTCGACATTAGGTTTAATGATTTCTACGGTGATGTTCCTAGCAAACTCTTTGACCTAAACCTTGACGCACTCTTCATTAACAACAACAAGTTCCGGTTTAGACTACCGGAAAACATCGGAAACTCTACCGTTTCGGTTCTTGTCTTAGCCAACAACAATCTCCAAGGATCTTGTATACCTCCGAGCTTCTACAACATGGGGAAAACGTTGCATGAGGTTATTATCACGAATAGTCAGATTAGCGGTTGTTTAAACCGGGAGATCGGTTTGCTAAACCAGTTGACGGTTTTCGACGTGAGTTTCAACAACTTGGTCGGTTCGTTGCCGGAGACTATGGGTGATATGAAGAGTTTGGAGCAGTTAAACGTCGCTCATAACAGATTCTCCGGCTATATTCCGGAGAGTATCTGCCGACTACCGAACCTTGAGAACTTCACTTACTCGTATAACTTCTTCTCCGGCGAGCCACCGGTTTGTCTGAGGCTTCAGGAGTTTGATGACCGTAGAAACTGTTTGCCGTTGAGGCCAATGCAACGGTCTCCCGCTGAATGCAGATCTTTTTCTTCATATCCTATTAATTGCGCTTCCTTTGGCTGCTCTCCGCCTACTCCACCACCACCACCACCTCCGCCATCGCCCCCACCTCCACCACCACCGCCGCCACCGCCGCCACCACCACCAGCATACGTTTATCCGTCGCCTCCTCCGCCACCATATGTGTATCCGTCGCCTCCTCCTCCGCCACCATACATGCATCCGTTGCCTCCTCCGCCACCATATGTTTATCCGTCACCTCCTCCGCCCCCGTATGTGTACACGTCTCCTCCTCCGCCACCATATGTTTATCCGTCACCTCCTCCTCCGCCACCATATGTTTATCCGTCACCTCCTCCGCCCCCGTATGTGTACACGTCTCCTCCTCCGCCACCATATGTTTATCCGTCACCTCCTCCTCCGCCACCATACATGCATCCGTTGCCTCCTCCGCCACCATATGTTTATCCGTCACCTCCTCCGCCACCGGACGTGTACACGTCTCCTCCTCCGCCACCGTACGTGTACACGTCGCCTCCTCCGCTAACTTATGTGTATCCTCCACCTCCGTGTACGTTTCCACCGCCGGTGCATGACTAAGGCGTGTTTTGACCGTGTGGAAACGGCCATCTGTTTTACGTTATGTAACGCTTGTGTTCACTAAATTCTTCTTGTTCAACTATTTATTTTCTTGAAATTCAATTTAAAATGTTTGCATTAAATGTTTTCTGACGATAATTTTAGTTATTTGAAAATGGGGGAGGTTGTGTGTTATATGGCCTCCCGAAGACAAATTTGTTGGTTAGTTATTTGGAGTGGATGCTTTAAATTTTGGTTAGATTTGTGGTATGATCTTCCTACTATGGGATACATATTTATTTGTTTATGTTTCAGCGATTATCATTTTTTTTTGGGAAATTCTTTTTTTTAAACCAAAAAAATACGCATCTATACTATTAAAAGTGAAGATACCCGAAAAAAATCTACTTATACAAGTTGTGTGCACCTTTCATTAATGGCATTTTAGTAATTTATTTTTGTCCTATATCTATATATATATCGAATGTTACAAAACATATCACATATTAACCATATACCCGATTTAATCTCTCTCTTCCCATTAATTATTCTCTCTTTTCCCATTAATTATTTGGATTTTTACCAAAACTAACCTACAACTTTGTTTTAACCCCAATACTAGACCCAAACTTGAATCAAAAGCAAATCTAACCTAAAAGGGGTATGAAATTACAGTATAGTCCTTTGTGACCAAACAAAAAAACAGAAGACATTTTTACGAATTTAGCCCCTGTAAGTTGTCTGAGTCAGACTGAGCTAGTTTTCAGTCATCTGAACGACTGAAATATTAGTTGTCTGGACGACTGAATCTTAAAAATAATTTATAAATTTTGTAAAAAATATTTTGATGAGTGAAAAATTAAAAACTTGTAATTATAAACATTTTAAAGTGATATAAATTAAGAAATGATAAAATTGATTTGTTTTCAGCATAGATGAGTGTAAGTAGTGAATCATAATATTCTTTGGTTTAAGGGTTTGGCAAAAATATGTTGTAGTATTGTATGTAATCTTAGGGTTAGATATTGAAAAGCTAAAATGTTTTTTTCCAAAATTTATTTTGACTTCTATGTTTTTATTTCTGTGTATAGTAAACATTTTTCAAGTTTAGTTTAATTTTTCGAAGTATTTAATTAGTGAATGGAGTTTAGGGGTTATGTTTAGGGGTTCGACGACTGAAATTTCAGTTGTCTGTTTCAAATTATTTACCAGACGACTGAAATTTCAGTCGTCTTAATATTCCCGCATAAAATTTAAGAAATATTTTAGCTTCCCGCTAAAATTATTAAAGTCTCGTGGACGATGAAATCGAAAACAATTAACCTAATTGATTTTTTGTCTCCCTATATAAAGAAAAATTTACACATTCTCACTCTTCCTCTCAAATGTCTGCAACAAAAATGTAATGTTCATTTTTCTAGAACTCTCAAACCTCTCTATAATCTCTTTGAACTTATAAACACCAAACTTTATATCAATTTATTGTTTTTGTCTCATGTCTTTCTCACTAATTTTTCTTGTTTTTGCAGGTTTTTCATCACATGGTTCTCATATTCTACTCATTTAAAGGTATATTTATCTAATCTTTCACTTATTTTTTTATGTTTTCTTCATTTGGTAATTTTTTGACTTGAAAACACCAAAATTGATATGAATTTTTCAGTTTTGTCTCATATTTTTCTCACTAATCTATTTTTTTCTTGCAGGTTTTTAATCATATGGTTATCATCTTCATTTTGATATGTGTGTTGTGTGTTCTATAAACGTATATATATATATATATATGTTAGTTGTCTAAAGTATAATGTTCTGGGACGACTTACATGTTAGTTGTCTAAAGTATAATGTTCTGGACGACTTACTTCTAGGTCGTCTGGACGACTTACTTGTTAGTCGTCTGGACTTACTTGTTAGTCGTCTGGAAGTTGTCTGAACTTCCTAGAAGTCGTCCGGACTTCCTGTAAGTCGTATGAACTTCCTGTAAGTCGTCTGAAAGTTGTCTGGACTTCCTGAAAGTTTTCTGAAACTGTCTTGTTTCATATCAAGTGGAGTCCAAACTTATCTTTGTAGAGGAATGATCTATTATAGTTTAGTTTGTGGTATGTTTTGTGATTTGCATGTGTACTCTTTTAATTGTGATTTTTTTGTAAAATCAGTAATATTGTTTCCCAAGATGTAATATATGTGATAACAATGTGTTTACACATTTACAAATCAATGAAATAATAGACTTCAACATCAAACCCTTCTTCCAACAAATCATCATTGGTGTTAAAGCATATTACATGTTTTACAAGTTTGTGTTGCAAAACTTAGTCAAATTTAGTAATGTATGACTTGTGTTTCGGATAATGTAATGTAATGCATGACTTGTCTTTTCAAATTTTTACTTAAGCCGAGAGACGACTAACCATAAGGTCGTCTGGACGACTGAAATTAAGGTCGTCTGGACGAATGAAATGAAGGTCGTCTAAAGAGAAGTACATAATACATAGATAACATCCTCTCTCCTTTGAAACAAGATCAGCATGTGACGAACCTTCACTCAAAAATAACATCCTCGCTCCTTTGAAACAAGATCAGCATATGTCAAAGGAGCGAGGATGTTATTTGTAAAATAACAATGTGTTTACACATTTACAAATCAATGAAATAATAGACTTCAACATCAAACCCTTCTTCCAACAAATCATCATTGGTGTTAAAGCATATTACATGTTTTACAAGTTTGTGTTGAAAAACTTAGTCAAATTTAGTAATGTATGACTTGTGTTTCGGATAAAGTAATGTAATGCATTACTTGTCTTTTCAAATTTNATAACAATGTGTTTACACATTTACAAATCAATGAAATAATAGACTTCAACATCAAACCCTTCTTCCAACAAATCATCATTGGTGTTAAAGCATATTACATGTTTTACAAGTTTGTGTTGAAAAACTTAGTCAAATTTAGTAATGTATGACTTGTGTTTCGGATAAAGTAATGTAATGCATTACTTGTCTTTTCAAATTTTTATTTAACCCGAGAGACGACTAACCATAAGGTCGTCTGGACGACTGAAATTAAGGTCGTCTGGACGAATGAAATGAAGGTCGTCTAAAGAGAAGTACATAATACATAAATAACATCCTCTCTCCTTTGAAACAAGATCAGCATGTGACGAACCTTCACTCAAAAATAACATCTTCGCTTCTTTGAAACAAGATCAGCATGTGTCAAACCTTCACTCAAAATAACATCCTCGCTCATTTGAAACGATCAACCACAAAATTCCAACAACCATCTTCCAACAACCATTCTCCATACACTGCACGTAACTGATGCGTCATCTGAAATAGTAAAAATAAAACACATTAGCAAACATACAACAAAGAAAACAAAAGTTTATTAAAGATAGAAGCAGACGACTGAAATCTAAGTCATCCAGACGACTAAACATTCAGTCGTCTGGTCAATGCAGAAGTTATATTTGCAATTGAATTTGAAATCTGTTAATTGGGACGACTGAAATATCAGTCGTCTGGATTAGCTTGATAAAAAAAAAATCTCCAAAAAACACAGACGACTGAAATTTCAGTCGTAGGTTAGTTTTGTATTTGACTAGAAAAATTTCAGAAGTTTGACTTTTCAGGACGACTTACATTTCAGTCGTCTGAGGAAAAATAAAATATCAATATTTTATTGAAATTCGACGACTTACATTTCAGTCGTCGTAGGTTAGTTTTGCAATTGCGAAAAAAACTTCAATATTTAATCATATCCAGACGACTTACATTTCAGTCGTCTGCTGGACGACTGAACTTTCAGTCGTCTGCTGGACGACTGAACTTTCGGTCGTCTAGGATTTACAAGGTTTGACCAGAATCTCGGAATAAAATCCTGGACGACTGAATTTTAAGTCGTCTTCCGGACGACTGAATTATAAGTCGTCTTGAGAGTTTGAAGTTTTTTTTCACAATTGCAAAACTAATCTATTACTACCGAAATGTAAGTCGTGAGTTCCAATAANGTCTGCTGGACGACTGAACTTTCGGTCGTCTAGGATTTACAAGGTTTGACCAGAATCTCGGAATAAAATCCTGGACGACTGAATTTTAAGTCGTCTTCCGGACGACTGAATTATAAGTCGTCTTGAGAGTTTGAAGTTTTTTTTCACAATTGCAAAACTAATCTATTACTACCGAAATGTAAGTCGTGAGTTCCAATAAAATATTGATATTTCAATTTTTCGCAGACGACTGAAATTTCAGTCGTCCGAAAAAGTCAAAATTCTGAAGTTTTCTTGTCAAATGCAAAACTAACCTAAGACGACTGAAACTTCAGTCGTCCAGATTCTGAAGATATTTTTTTATCAAACTAATCCAGACGACTGAACTTTCAGTCGTCTCTGGAAACAAATTGCAAAGTCAATTGCAAAAATAACCTTTGCTTTGACCGGACGAATGCAGACGGCTGAAATTTCAGTCGTCTGGACGAACAGATCTGGAAAAAAAAACTCGATTTCATACCTTAAATTGGTGAGACCACTTTCTTTGACTATATGAACCCTAGAAAATGTTGAATCAAGCACTCAGGATCTCAAACGAAGGTAATCCACCCTGAATCTTTAATTTCTTTGACTATATGAACCCTAAAAAATGTAGAATCAAAATCTTGGGTTTTTTTAGCTCATTGTGGAGAGAAAGTGAGAGATATGTGTTGTAATGTGTTGTTTAGTTCATGAGAATAGAGAAACAAGAAGGGTAAATGGAATTTGGAGGCATTAAGAGCTTCAAAATTGGTTGTTCATGGTTGTTGGAGTATTGATGACAATGGCAATCTTGTAATTACTTGAAGATGATGAGGGTGAGAGAGTAAATATGTCATTTTCGAAAGAAAAAAAAAAACAAATTGATGGCATTTTCGTGAATTATATGAACTTGTGAGGTGAATTGGGCAAAATAAAGTTCCAAAAAAAAAGAGGTTAGTTTTGTGGTTGACTTCAAGTTTCAGGTCAATTCTGCAAAAAACCCAAATTATTTTTCTCTTTTCCTATTAATTACTCTAACCATATTTCATACTATATTTCATACTTTTATTGATTTCCAACATTATATTACACGATTTGGTATATGCATCATATATGGACTTTATAACCACATTTCATAATATATTTCATACATTTATATTATATTATACACCTTATATTACATACCTATAGATTTTCGGCATTATACTTTTATGGTTGACTTTTTTTTTGGTATATAAATCA